GTCAGGGAAAATAATTAAAAAAAAAAAAAAAGCGCTCGGTGCGAGCGGAGCTCCGCGTGGGAGCGGCGGGGAGCGCCCCTTGGGCCGTGCCGGCGCCCGGCAGCAGGGGGCGCCAAAGCTCCACCGCGCCGCGCGGTCGTCGGCCCCGGGCACTGCCCCGCGCTGCGCTCCGGGGCGCCGGGCCGGGCGGGGGTTCAGGGGAGGCGGCGGGCCGTGGGTAGGAGCCTCGGCTGGACACCGCCCGGTGCCCTACGGAACGGCGGTGCTGCCCGCTGCGCCTGGGCGGGGTGGTGGTGGGGGGTTCAGCCTGAAGGTATTAAGACTGCTGCTCCGAACGTCTCCTCCTTCGCTGTACTTGCCTCCGAACCTCCTACCGTGCAGACATTTTGTCTCGGTGTTAAGTAGTGAGACGCCACCGGATGCTCACCGTTTGCAGAGAAATACTTCTCTGCTTTTGCCACCTCGGGACGAGCTCGGTGTGTTTCCCGATTGCGATTGAGAAGCAGTTCGGAGGCTTTCCAGCGCAGCTATAGCGCTGGGGTGGCAATGGAAATGCATCTCCGAGTCTTTCTGTCGATCTACCTGAGTGTAATGGTTATAGGAACGTGGTCTGTGGTTCCTCTAACAGAGGAACGGCGGAAGGGTGCTTCATGAAGTGTGATTACTGCAGCATGGGAAGATCGCATAGTTTTGGTGTCTTCCTACTGCAAATGTCAGGCGTTAAATAATGGAGTGTAATTCGAGGTGCCATTAAGCAGAGTTCTAGAAATGATAGCAAGACAGATACGGTAGGGAGATGAGAAGAGGGTGAAATCTGAGTAAATATAATACTGATAGTGAGTTATAAGTGTCAACACAATGAAATTAGTCCTTTTGTAAATTGATCTGCTAGTGAATGGAGCACAATTGTTTTAAGGTGGGAATAATTTTTGGAGTAGTTGTGGAAATAGTCACACAGCCTCAGTGCACAGTGAAGGGATAGTAAATGCAAGTGGCAGAAACATCTGCATGTGGGAGATATTGCCTTTTAGGTTGGTAGGGGACAGGGTTGTTCTGCAGTGATTGCTTTGAAGATAAGCACAGTCTTGGTCAGGGTTTTATCATTGCTTTCTGTATTTTATTTCTTGGCACCTCCTCCAAGCTATCTTGACATATCTTGAAATCATTCAAATAATCTTAGGGGCTGTTCCAAATTCTCTGGGGGCTTATCCTCTTGATATATTAATGATAATTAGGATTTTTTTTTCTTTCTGTGGAAGTGGAGATAAAGAAGAATTTGGATGGTTAAGAGAAACCCAGTAAAGGGATTTGGATCGTTTGCTTCAGAAATACAGAAAATCTTAGGCTGAGGGTTTGTATTTTTAAGTATGTAGCTGCAGTAGATGTCATGAAAAATGACTGAAGCTTCTTCAATGTGAAGTGCTGTTGTCTAAGACTGAGGCGAGGAAACTGTGATGTGTTTGTTCCATTTCAGAAAATTGAAGCAGTTTGAGAAACAAGTGGCTGACAGCAGCCCCTTTTCCCAGCCCCCTTGTGTTGAGAGCTTATGAATGTCATAATTATCTAGCAGGGCCAAATATTCCCTTTCCTAATTTCACCACAAGGGAGGAGTTTAACTGACAATGTTATTATGCTAAAACAAAAGGATTTTTCTTTCCTTAACCTTTCAAAGCTGTCCAGGGTGAAAGGCTCAAATTTAATTAGCTTTGCTTTAATAAATAAATAAGGAATAAACAAAACTCTCCCCTCTTACTATGTATAGTGATACGATGCTCAGGAGAGCGGGCTTCATTAGTTTGTTTTTTTTTTTTTTTTTACCAGTGTCTGGGGACACTGACTTAGAGTGAATGAAATGGATACCTTCTGAGATAGCAAAATCCTATTTCTTTTGTTGTTCTATGTAACATACAGTTCTTCAGGTTAACAGAGAATTTGTGATGCTGCAGTATAAATTGCCTCACTTGCAGAATTTAATCCGTTTTGTGTTCATCCTCAGTATTTGTTTTGGTGAGTACTTGTTCAGTTATTGTGCTCTAGGTTTCCTCTTCTTGCTGCTTTGATACAGAGCTCATCTTAGTTTTTAACGAAGCATTTCTCTTTACAAATGCTTATAAGGAGCTTTTTGTTAATAAAGACCATTCTCCCAAAAGAGACACCAATGTGTACATCTCATTTACCATAGTCACTTCCTAGAGCCTTGCAGCTTTCTGCTTTTTATGTTGGAAACACATGAAATCTTCAGTTGTCAAAATCAATGACGGTATGTCTGCTGGATTAAGTGAAACTGGTATTATAGTTTGAGATGTAAATTGAAGTCTGAAACCTGTCCTGTGACTTCAGCTACCCATTATTTTTTGTTACCAGTTGATTCATAGAACTGCAGTAGGACAAAAACAATTTGTCTACTGTCTTCTCTCCTTTTCACCCTTCAAAAAAAAAAAAAGTATAAAAAATGTTTTGGTTTTTTTTTTAAGCCTTTCTAACTTCTCTTCATATGTAAACAAGAATCAAAGTATCTGCTTGAAAATAAATTGGCTGAGGTGTTCTAGCAGATTTCCTTCAGAATGAATTCTTAAGAAGTATGTAGCTTTGTTTCATGCAATCCTATACAAAATGCTTTATTTAAGGAGGTTTTTACCACTTTCGGTGGCTTCAAATCATGAAAAGTATGAGATAGTTGTGGAGCTGAAGCTTTAGTCTTTTGTTAAAAGTTGAATAGAGTCGCAGTTGTTATCTATGGGAGTGTTCCTGAGGTGTTATGCCCGGTTTCTGTATTACTTGTCTTTAACAGGTGTTTCTTAGAACATTCAGAAACCAAATAGAGATTTGTTTGCCCTTTCATTGACCTTTTGAGGTACCCATCCCAGATGATTCATGTTTATTTACTGGCTTCCTTCCAACTTACTGCAGTAATCCTCCAGTTACATTCAGCACGTGGCATTTGATGCCAGGGTGAGATCAAATCAAATTAGTATGATATTTTGGAAAACACATGTTTTAACTGCATAGTAGTTAGTGGCTGTGAGTTGAAGATCGGTTATTGAAAGAGTAGGACAGATTTATCTAGGTAGATAATATGGGTAATACCTCATATTTTGAGCAGTTTAGAGTAACTAATTTATACCGGATTATTTTTTTTTTTTAAGAGCATGCCTTAGTTTTTATAAAACAATTGTAGCATACTAGAGGTGTGCTGCAAGGTACTGCATGCTGCAGATCATTTCAAATTGATTTGATAGCTCTTGAAATTCAGAAATAGAGGAGGACTTCTGAGTAACCTGATAAATGGGCCTTCAGATTGGAATTTAATAGATTAGATCCAGGCATACTGGTATCTAGCATATCTTTATTTATTTTAACATCATTAATTGTTATGACCTAATAATTGTGTAATGTTTCCCTTTTTTTCCATCCTTAGTATACTTAGGTGCTTTCTAGTGTACGTAGTTGACTAAAATCTTGGTATCTGTTTAAAGCTCAAAATAGTTTTGGAAGATAAGAGTAAACTGTATTTTGAGCTCTCTTATTTCAATAATATCAGTAATCTAAGGATGTCCAGCTTCAGTAATGTAATCCTGCATTCTTTAACAAAATCTTTTTATTGCTTGTAAGCTCAGTTTAACTCAGTACTGTGGTTGTGATTTTAGATATTTTTAAAGGATGTCAAGAAAATGAAAGGAGTTGATTTTTAAAATAGCAAAATACTCTTCCAACTCTGCATAATACTTATAACATCTTAAATCAAATCTTCAAAAACAAAGGTACCAAGCTTCTTATCTTTGTTTCAGGGTTACAGTTTTATATTACTTGTTATCATTTGATTGCATTAATTGGAGAATTGATTGAATTAATTGGAGAATTTTTTTTTTTTAATTTAATGTAGGTGAGACAAGAATCTGGCTTTTTTTTTTTGAAGGGAAAGCATAAATGAGTTAAAGAAGTAAACAGGGAGAGTTTCTTACCTGATTACAGATATTTGTATTTGCAGGTTAGATTATTAAAATCTTGTGCTAGAAAACAGTGACACTGTAAAACCTACTTAAATATAGTGTGGAGAGGGAACCTCAAAGAACATATGTATGCATACAGAAGCCTTCTTTCTAGAACACCTTTTTTAACAAGAGCATAATATAAATTGCCTGCATTTGGGTAACTGTGAGCAGTGCTGGTTGCACTCGTGCAGAAGCTGCTGTGATGTGCAGGAGTCAGTTGTCTGCAGTGGGCTTT